GGTGCCAGGAGACCCCGCCTTCGTCCAAGCAGCTTGGTTTCTCTTTCAGACATTTGCCCAAAGACTGCAAACCACCGGCTGGATGACCTCTGGTCAAGTTTCCACGGTGGCCTTACGTGGGGGGCGCAGGGGTCTGCACTCGGGTAGCAAGGTCATATATCGGGGCAACAGGGGCGAGGAGCCAAGGGTCAGGGTGCCCCGAACAGGAGACGTGTAGCTAGCAGAGGACGCTGGGTGTCTGGGAGAAGGGGGACCGGGGGACTCCGGGTTCCAGGGGGTTGTGTGAAGGTCGCCTGAGGCAGGGCCACTGCCCCCACGCCACCCCCACCCAAGCTGAGCCACTCCGAGATCCCCCCTGTTGCTGTCCTTCAAGGAGCTCTGAAGTGACCTTTCGAGAGTGGTGGTAATCAGATTACAGGCTGGCTCTGGCTAGGGGCTGCCAGCCCAGAGCAGGGGCCTCTGGGAACTGTAGTCCTGTGCCCACAGGGGCAGGAGAAGCCAGCATCCCCCACCCACTCGTAACATTGGCCAGTGGTATTGGGTCTCTCTGTGATGCAGCTGCCAGGTGATTGGAGACCTTCTCCCACTCATTCCTCCCACCTGGGGCCACAGTACTGGACAGGGACTCAGTGGGCCAAGGTTCACGGCCGTGACCCCACCTGTAAAGTGGGAGCCTCGGCACCGGGAACCTTATACCACTTCCTCGTCTTCATGGCCTGGCAGCTCCAGGACCTTCCCTTGGAGGCTCTGGCTGTCCCCGATCCACCGCTCACGCCCTGGCCCCGGCACTGATTTGCTGTGTGACCCGAGGCTGGTCGCTTTACTATTCTGAGCCTTGAATTCCTTCATCCAATTTATACTCTCAAATAAGAATATAAATTCCTGCCTCCGCCTGCTGCTGCCTCCTACTCTTATGGAGGCCGCCTTTTGGATCCTGCTTTGTTCTTTGAGCAAAAGGAGCCCAAGGCTTTGTGCAATTTCAGAGGATGCCTGGGCCTCCGGGCAGCGGGCTGGTGGAGAGCAAGAACTGGGTGTTCTGGTCTGAGGGCCAGGGAAGCAGGTCAGAGGCCCGGACGGCCGCAGGACGTTACTGAGAGCCTGGCTTGGGGGAAGGCCGAGTTGTTTCCGAGGACATCCTGAGCCACAGCAGGCCCAGCCCTGGAATCACGAGCGTGGTGTGGGGTCTACACTCCAAGTCTTCCAACTCCCAAGCGCTGCTCTCGTCTGCCCCCAAACAGCATTACTGGGTTGATCTCCCCAGGCCACCATGCTTCATAGTGAGAAAAAAGATCAGGAAAATACCGAAATGTGCCTACACGGGCATGGTGGGAATACAGAAAACTTCCTTAAATGCTCCCATCTGCAGCCCCACCCACGGGGCTGTGCCTCTGCGGGGGTCACCCACCCTCCAAACCCTTGTCTCCAGGTGGGTGGGTCGGGTCTCCGGGCTTGGCCAGCATCTTGGGCCGCGGGGGCTGGACTCACTCGCCAAAGGCTGGCTGCTCTGAGTAGAGCTCAGGAAGCTCCTTGGTGCACAATAGTCCTGGAGAAAGCCCCACGTTCCCTGTGCAGTCACCTCGCACCCAAGTTGTGACGGGACCCTGCCCACACAAACCTCTGCCCTGACCTCTAATGGCCTACAAGTTCATTTTCCTGCCGCTAGGGACCTGCTCCCAACCATTCCCAAATTCTCATCCGCTCCCCAGATGAATCCAAGCCTCTTCTGGCTGGCTGGCTCTGACGCCCCTCCTGGTGTACCAGCGCCTTGCTGGCCCTTCTGTGCTCAAGGCACTGGCTCAACAGGGATTTGTCCCGTTTCTACTAGGAAACAAATTACTTTTTTTTTTTTTAATTTATTTTTTTTATTTAAATTTTTTTTTTCAATGTTTATTTATTTTTGGGACAGAGAGAGACAGAGCATGAACGGGGGAGGGGCAGAGAGAGAGGGAGACACAGAATCGGAAACAGGCTCCAGGCTCTGAGCCATCAGCCCAGAGTCTGACGCGGGGCTCGAACTCACGGACCGCAAGATCGTGACCTGGCTGAAGTCGGACGCTTAACCGACTGCGCCACCCAGGCGCCCCAACAAGTTACTTTTTAAAAGTAGGCTCCGTGCCCAATGTGGGGCTTGAACTCACGATCCTGAGACTAAGGGTCACATACTCTACCAACTGAGTCAGGATGGCGCCCCAGGAGAAATCGCCTTTTTTTTTTTTTAAACCTTTGTTTTATTATTCTAAAGTACTCACGACCTTGAGATCAAGAGTCTCACACTCTATGGACTAAACCAGCCAGGCGCCCAGAATTACTTTTGACCTCTCTGACTACCCCCTTGTGGGTCTCCAGTGGCCCCCACTGGAGTGACGCCACCCCAGGGAACCCCCCTTTTATTTTGCAAGCCCCAGCCCAGCATGATGAAACCTTGAAGGCTCAGGCTGACCTACTTGCCTCCCCATGTCCTCTCCAATCCCTCATTCCCCATCCAGTGCTGCGTGTGCAGATCAATCTTGAACCCTGGAAGCACTTGACCAACCCGAGTAACTCAAGGTTGTTTATGTCTGACTAGGTTTCTAACCAGAAATCCTGCCTCCTTCTCCGGACCAATCTTGGGTTTCTCCAGAGCCCGAACACTGACCTTTCCCAACCGGTGTTCCTTTCACCAACCAGGCTGAGGGGGCAGGGAGCCAGTGCCGAAGTGACAGGACAGACGGGCTTGAGCAAAGGGCTTTTCCTGCACTCTTTCAGGTCCTAAGGCGGGTGGGAAAGCATTTCTCCTCTGTCCCCACTCTTGCCTCAGAGGCAGGTAGCTCCCTACACTTCTGAAGGCCAAGCCTCTCTCTCATTTCAGGGCCTGGAGCTCCTTGGAGAAAGGCCCAGAGACGTGCCTTAGCTAGCCACTTTGTTACTCCCCAAAACCTTAACAAAAGCTGACGGCGGGGAGCAGGGAGGGAGCTAGCACAGGAATGGAGCTGGCCCCAGGGGAGAGAGATGGAGGAGATAGCTGGGCTGTGGTTAAGTCATTTATTGATTTTATTTCTAAAACCCACATAGCGCCACTTTGCCTCTTCCAGAGCTTCAAAGAGCTAATTAACCGCCCAATGAGCCCACCAGGGAAACCGAGCTTGTGGGGGAAGCAATGAGGTGAAGCCAAGGTCAAAGAGGGTTGCTAGGCCCCAGGCCCTGCCCCCATTCCCCCAGTTAAGGACAAAGAGAAAAGAGCTTGTTCTCTTCGTTTAGTCACCTGTAGTCTCAGGGCCTGGTTAGGGAAACCCACTGAACTCGCCTCCCTCCTGAGGGTTTCCTGAACCCCGCAGGCCTACGGCAGAGATACAGACGCCCTGGACGGGGCCCACAAAACCGGGCCGTGCTCCACACAGAAGGCACCGGGCGGGCCCAACCTGAAGGTGGAAAGCAGCCCAGGCCGGAGCTGCCCCCACCAGCCAGGTGCTGGGGCGGCAGGGGCGTGCTGTCCCTTAACCTCCTCCAAAGGAAGGAGAGGCTGCCAGGAAAGGCAGGCTCCACGCAGGCTCCCCAGGGGTGGTGCGGCACCGCGGCGGCAGCGGTCGGGCGAGGACCTCGCTGCCTCGTGCAGCCCTGACGTGGGTTTTTTTTCTGCGGCCACAACAGGCACCATCCACTGCCCCGCCCATGAAAGAACAAAATGGCCCGAGACCCCTGCGAAGAAGTGCTTACGAGAAGTGCAGATGGGGCACTTTTTCTCGCCCCCACCAACCCCCAAAGCCCGCAGCGCCGGCAGGCTGCAAGCAAGTCACGGGCAGAGAAAGAAAAAGCCACTTGGCGGTTTTAATTTTAGCTGCTCTGTGCCTCACAGGCAGGATTAGTTGGCTTGACCTTTAGTGCTGATGCCTCCCTAGGCCCAGGGCCTTGGTCAGGTGGCGGCTTCCAGGCAGAAGTCGCAACCAGAGCTCA